CCTTCTGTCTTCCATCTTTGCTGTTGGTACAGCCAAATAATTCTGTACAGTCGAGCATGAAGAAAACAACAGGTTTATGCAAAGTACTCACAGCTAACCTGGGAATGTCATGGTTCATTTTTCCATTTCCCACTATGCTGTTTGGCCTTTTCTAACACATGCAAGAGTTAAACTCTGAAGCACATCAAGAATGCTTTCTTTCACTTGGTTATAAGTTACTGGATATTGCTTGAGTAAAAAATGATATAAGTATATTTACTCCTTATTTGATTTAGAATTATGTAGTTTAGTGTTTAGACATAAGGTTTTTTAGAAGCACAAGTTTATAGTAAGTTCATTATGAATTCATTATAAGTTCTAACACTTATCTAGGAATTATGTAGATGATTTATAACACTGTTTTCACAGAGTTAGGATGAAGAGTAATCGTTAAGGATTTTTCTTCATTCAATAGTCAAAATTTTAAGTTAATGTTTACAGAGTGGGTTTTCACTGAATTCATAATATACTAATTGGATACTTTTATGATAAATTAACTAAACACAGAGAGCAACCTTGGGGACCTGGGAAACATCACTAAAAGCTTCTTTTGAGTTTTCTTTAGAAATAAACACTGCAGGATAAGAAAAAGTAACAAAGACACCTGGACAAGAGAGGCGATTACGAAGCTTTGAAGGTAATAGAATCCCCAGAGAAAATTCCTGATACATGGAGAAATGTGCACTTGGAAACTTTCTTGAGACATTTCAAGGACTGTAATTTGGGACTTCGGACTAAAACTATCATTTTTGGCTTTATGAATAAGACTCATTGATTGAAAGTAGATAGTGTTCTTGGTTTGTTTGTTGCTTCTTTTTTTTTTTTTGAGTTGGAGTTTCACTCTGTCACCCAGACTGGAGTGCAGTGGCCACTCCCGACCACTGCAGCCTTGACCTGCTGGACTCCGGCGATCCTTCCGCCTCAGCCTTCCAAGTAGCTGGAACTATAGGCGCGTGCTACCACGCCTGGCTCATTTTGATTTATTGTAGAGATGAGGTCTCACCAAGTTGCCCAGGTGGGTCTCGAACCTGCGGGCTTAGGCAATCCACTCACCTCATCCTCCCAAAGGCGCGGGATTACAGGCTGAGCCACCGAGCCCAGCTTTGTTTGTTGCTTCTAAGACCACTAGATGGTGGTAACTTTTAAAAAATAACGTATGTGAAGGAATTTTCTTTGTCTTGCCCCTTTACGAATGGTATAAAAGCTTTCTGTTAACTAACAGTAAATGTCATCTGTCCTGCAGGCATCTGGCTTGTAAGCAGGTATCCAAGTATATTATTTTCGTTGTAAGTTCTTTCTTTCACCTACTCCATCTCTCTTTCAGGAAACCTCACACCCGGCAGGAGCAGGACTCTGGCATAACAGAACAGAGGGCCCAGAAAGAGACCCACATAAATTGAATCAACTGGGCAACCCCTTTGAGTCCTCTCCCACTGTGGGACCTTTTCTGTCCTCTCAAATCCTGCTTTCAAAAAAAAAAAAAACAAACAATAAACTGAACTCTTTAACAAAAGAAGAAAGGCAATTTAATGGTGAAAGGATAGTCTTTAAAAAAATGTTGTTGTAACAGCTGGACATTAACATGAAAAAAATCAAGACAGAGAACTTACACATTTCACAAAAATTAACTTAAAAGACCACAGATCTTAATGTAAAACGCAAAACTATAAATCCTTATTACCTGTGTAGTGATGCACCTGTAGTCCCAGCTACATGGGAGGCTGAGACAGGAGGATTGCTTGAAGTCAAAGAGTTTGAGACTGTAGTGAGCTATGATTGAGCTATGATGGAAGAGCTACTGCACTGCAGCTTCAGCAACAGAGTGAGACCCCATCTCTAAAAAGTAAAAAATAAAAACCACCTAAAAGATAACATAAGAGAAAATCATAGGTGGCCTTGGGCTTGATGATAAGCTTTTATTTTACATTCTTTTTAGAGACAGGGTCTCACTCTGTCACCCAGGCTGTAGTGTAGTGGTATAATCATGGCTCACGGCAGCCTCAAACTCCTAGGCTCAAGTGATCCTCCTGCCTCAGCCTACCAAGTAGTTGGGACTACAGACATGCACTATGTCTGGCTAATTTCTTTTTTTTTTGGTAGAGACAGGGTCTCGCTATGCTGTCCAGTCCGGTCTCAAACTCCTGGTCTCAAGTGATCCTGCTTCCTTGGCCTTCCAAAGTGCTGGGATTACAGGCACGAGCCATCCCCTGAATGGCATGATGATAACTTTTTAGATATGACATCAAAAGCACTATTTGTGAAAGAAAAAAATGTTAAGTTAGACTTCATTAAAATGTAAAACTCCTGCTTTTTGAAAGATACTGCCAAGAAAATAAAAAGACAAGCCACAGACTGGGATAAAATATTTGCAAAAGACATATCTGATAAAAGGCTGTTACCCAAAATATAGAAAGAACTCTTAAAACTCAACAGTCAGAAAATGAACTATCCAATTTAAAAATGGGCAAAATATCTGAACAGATACCTCATCAAAGAAGATGGCAAACAAGCATATGAAAAGATGCTCAACATCATATGTTATTACAGGGTTGCAAATTAAAACAATGAGATACCACTCACACCTATTAGAACCACCAAAATCCAAAACACTAAAAACACCAAACACTGATGAAGACGTGGAGCAACAGGAACTCTCATTCAGAAATGCAAAATGGCACAGCCTCTTTGGAGACAGTTTGGCAGTTTCTTACAAAACTAAATATCCTCTCACCATATGGTCCAGCAGTTACTCCTTGATATTTCTCCAAATGAGGTGAAAACTGATGTCTATGCAAAAAACATGTACATAAATGTTTATAGCAGATTTATTCATCGCCAAAACTTGGAAGCAATCAAGATGTCCTTCAGTAGGTGATGGATAAATAAACTATGGAACATTCATATAATGAAATCATATTCAGCAATAAACAGGAATGAACTATCAAGTCCAGAAAAGGCATGGAGGAACCATAGGTGCATATTGAAAGAAGTGAAAGAAGCCAGTTTAAAAAGGCTCCATACTGCATGATTCCAATTATATGACATTCTGGAAAAAGAAAAACTGTGGAGACAGTAAAAAGATCTGTGGTTGCCAGAGTTCAGGGGGAGATAGGGAGGGAAGAATGGGTGGAGCACAGGGATTTTTAGGATAGTGAAACTACTCTGTATTATGCTATAATGGCGGATATACGTCATTACACATTTTTCAAAACTCATCAAATGTTAAACACAAAGAGTGAATGCTAACATAAACTATGGACTTTAGTTAAAAATAAGATAGCAATAGGGTCTCATCAGCTGTAACAAATGTGGCACACTAATGCAAGATATTAATAGTAAGGAAGTTGGGGAGAAGGAGATGAACAGGTATATGGAAACTCATTGTATTTTGTGACCAATATTTCCATAAGCCTAAAACTGCTTTTAAAAAGTCTACCAATGAAAACAACAACAAATAGATTTCAGGGTATAAAGTTTAAAAATGTAAAGAAAACACACTAGTTAACCATATTTATTATTTTAATATCTATTCAGAGTTTTTAAGTTTCCCAGCAAAACAAAAGATATTTTTAGCTTTGAGACATTAAACTGTACAACTGCTAGAATAAATTACTCTTTAAATTTTCCAACATCTGAAATCTGAACAGCTGAATCTTCTATACAAAAATATCTTCTTATTATTTTATAATGTGTCTTTGGATAACGCCTACAAGATGATACCAATTACATTAGCATTTGTTACAAAGTCATTTTGTACATAAAAATCTCAGCAGTTGATAAACATTATTATTCTTTAAAAAGAATATACAGTACTAATGTCCAGTTCATTCAGTGGCAGCTTTAAATAGAATAACCCTAAATTCAAAATTTCTACTTAACAATACCAATTTAGAAATAAAACTAAGAAAAAAATCCGTGTGCTATGTGAAACCACTGCTATAGCAGCTGAACATATTTACTCTGGAGCAAATGTGAAGGTCCGAGCCAAGTCAGTGACCAGCAGCAGCACAGGCTGGCTTGGGGGGACCTGCTAGCACGCTTCATTTTTGTGTCCCAAAGGAACAGGGAAACAAGGTATTTTGAAAGTCTGAGCCGGGTTCGGAGGCTCAGCCTGTAATCCCGCGCTTTTGGGAGGCTGAGGTGAGTGGATTGCCTGAGCCTGCGGGTTCGAGACCCGCCTGGGCAACTTGGCGAGACCCTATCTCTACAATAAATCAGAAAATCAGCCGGGCGTGGTAGCGCGCGCCTGTAGTTCCAGCTACTCGGAAGACTGAGGCAGAAGGATCGCCGGAGCCCAGCAGGTCGAGGCTGCGGTGGCCGGGAGCAGCCACTGCACTCCAGTCTGGGCAACGGAGTGAGACTCCAATTCAAAAAAAAAAAAATAAAAGAAAATCTGATGAACCAGCGTCAAACACCGATTCAAGAACTTCCTGAATGATATGACGACAAAAGAACCTGACTTGGTTAATATGGAAGTCATCGAGACATTTGGCTTAACCATTCCCATGAATTCATCTCGGTTGTATTGGTCAAGATTTTAAAAAACAGGCTTTTCTCCATTAAAATCAGATGGCATAACTTTGATATTCTCTATGTTGAAGATAAGAATATTTCTAAGAAAGACATCACGCTCACAATTGGAATTACCATTGCTTCCATAGCATCAAAGGAGGAAAACAAATGATGACTGCAAGCTTTCTGCCACCGCCAAAGCAGTAGAGACTTGGCCAAGTAAGAATCACAGCAGACGGCCCACAGAGGTTGGCCTAATTGCCGTGAAAAACAAAACAAAACAAAAACCAAACCTCTCAGGCCAGTCATTGTAAAGTGATGAAATATTATCATGTAGGCAAATATACAACAAATGAAAACTAAAACTTAATTCTAAACACTTCCTGGAGGCATTTTTTAAAAAAAGATTCTTGTACTTACTACCTACTAATTTGTAGAGCAAATGCGTGATACTTTGGCAAACAGTTTATTCAATACTTTGTAAAGTTCTACCCACATATCCATTGCACTGTGGGCAATGATGCTACGAAAATGCATTCCATTGCTTGGAAAGAAATAAAATAGGAGATGATTTTTGTTCTTTGAAGTACCTATTATTGCATATTTCTTTCAGAGCTCAGTAGAGATAGACAGCTGTAGACACTTCCCAGGGTCAAGGGATTCACACATCCTCTATGGTGCGATGCTGCAGCCTTCATACCAGAGACTTCTACCGGTGGCCTCCGTACTTGGCCACCCAGTCTGTCCTCCCATGCACTGAGGGAACCGGCTGTGCACGGTTCACGAGATTTAGGTTTTTTGCTGTAGGATTATAAGTGCGCCCTGAAAACTGCCCCCGACCAGATTTTGTGTTCCAGGTACATTCTGAAAGAAATCAGAATTGAAAATTATAATTTTATTCACTTGATGATCAAACACACAAAAAAGCAATTCATCTCTTATTTTATGGGAAAAATTTGAATTTATCTTTAAAAGGTTAATTTGGTAGTCTCTGAGATTTAAAAAATTTTAAAACTCAAAATTCTAGTGCAGAATTATATTGACATCAATTAGAATTTTCAGTAGTTTAAGAAACAGTAATACTGGTTTGTGGTTCTAATACTGCTGATATTTCCGGTATTTCACTTTATTTATTTTTTTGAGTTGGAGTCTCACTCTGTCGCCCAGGCTGGAGTGCAGTGGCCGCTCCCAGCCACTGCAGCCTCGACCTGCTGGACTCAGGTGATCCTTCCATCTCAGCCTTCCAAGTAGCTGGAACTACAGGCACACACTACCATGCCCAGCTAATTTTTTGATTTACTGTAGAGACGAGGTCTCGCCACATTGCCCAGGCTGGTCTCAAGCCCACGGGCTCAGGCAATCCTCTCACCTCGGCCTCCCAAAGTGCTGGGATTATACGCTTGAGCCACCGTGCCTGGCCTCAGTACTTCACTTTTAGCTAGGCAACACCAAGTAAGATGACCAAGAGAAATTCTTGGTTCAAATTCAATGGGCAACACCCACAGTGTTAAGACTTAGGAATATCACACCGTGGTTACTACATCTAACAATGTTCAAACAGTCACTACAAAAAATGTATTTGGAATTGTGAATCCATAAAACTATGGCTTCATGGAGCTATACGTATGTGGTCCTATAAAGGATTTCTTTTTAAAAATGAAAATGTAGGCCGGGCATAGTGGCTCATTACTATAATCCCAGTACTTTGGGAGGCCAAGGTGAGAGAATTGCCTGAGCCCATGGCTGCGAGACCAGTCTGGGCAACTTGGCAAGACCTCATCTCAATCAAAAAAATTAGCTGGGCATGGTGGCACATGCCTGTAGTTCCAGCTACTTGGAAGGCTGAGGCTGAGCTCAGCAAGTAGAGGCTGCAGTGGCCGTGAGCGTGACACTGCACTCTAGCCTTTGTGACAGGTGAAAACCCGACTGAAAAAATAAATAAATAAAAATGAAAATGTAGTTTTTAGATTTAAGATACTTCATTTTTTTTTTACTGGGAAAATTATGGGTGGTAACACTATGACTTTACATGATAGAATCCCAAACCTTTAATCACAAGGTTTGTTTTATTCATGTATTTGACTGCTTAAAAATTTATGAGCATTAAAAAATCTGTTAAACATTTGTTATCTGAATAATTTATAAGCTAAAATTACATAAACATCTCAAATGACAAAGCAGTAAGTCATTTTACTGAGAACTTTTATGTCTTCAGTTCCTCCCTCACACCTTCCTCACCTCAAATTGAGAGCTAGGTGTCACAGGTATTCTGAGAAGGGGATGTTTGATTTCTTCCATTTGAGATTTAAATATCTTTTCACACTGCAGTCGCTTCCCTTCTTGGGTTCAGTGTCAATACTGAAATGAATTGCTGCTTTGTACCATTAGCCCTAGCTACAATATATTTACTGGCATGTTTTCCCCAGTTTTTCTTATACTTTCACTGTAAAACTGGGAGGTAGGAGGGACTTCTGTGAGCACAGTGTCCTGATGTGCTGCTTACCTCAGCGAGTGGAAACAAGGCATTAAGAGTGACGGCCTGGGCAAAGACAGCCAGCCAACTGGATGTTGTGTAATTTGGCAGGGAGGGAGGCCAAGAGCTCTCCCCTCGATGGTTTCAACCATCTTACCGGGTTTAAAATTCTCAAAGTCAAAACTGCTAAAATTCTACCTAACAAAGACATGGACAATGTGTCTATGAGCCAGTTAGGGTCCCATGTTTTCCAGGAATAACCCTTCAGTTAGAGCCTTTGGAGTGTAAACAAGCATCTGTCAGGTAAATTGGTGCGCTCACACCTGAGGGCCACAGAGCAGAGTGGTACTGGGGCAAAGGAGAGAATGTGTGAGGGAAGAGGGCAGGGGAGGAGAGAGAGGAAAGGGAACACAGCCCTCTGTGAATGGGTGAGGCTCTGGGGTAAGAAGTAAGGGGTTGGGAAGAACAAAAAAGGGAAGTTTTTTACCAGGACGTGCCAGAGCCTAAAGTCAAGTCCTCAGTGCACTTTAAGGAAACTGTGTCCAGGCCAGTATTTTGTAAAACTTCTTTGAAGAGGGAAGCATTTTGTGAAGAAGGTTGTCGTGTTAAGATTTAGGATTCCTTTCCTAGAAATAAGGGTTTTAGGACTCAAGTTTCCCTGGTGAAAAACCTAATGGCTGACCAAGGAGTCCAGATCTTGTAGCAGGGCAAGAAATGCTTTTGTGCCTTAGTGGGACAACCTGCACCTCACCGCCCCGCAAGAGCACAGCAGTCAGGCCTGCAATTTGCTGTGTGTTTATTTTGAAAACTGCATTTGTCTTATCAGGGGCATTTAACTTCTTGTAGATAACATGTGCTAAAGGAAAGGAGTATGCCTCTAGTTGTGGATTTAATTTACGCCACTATGATGTAACTTTTAGCAAGATTTAAAACTTCTGGAAGATGGAGATCATAATAGTACCTTCTGTAATAGAGGCCTGGAAAGATTAAATGAGTTAATGTGCACAGAGTGCTTAGAACAGAGTCCTGTGCTTCTAAAGGTGTCGTATGTGAAAAGAAGTCACTCCTCAAAGTTCTTTTGGTTAGTTTCAAAGCAAGGGATGAGGGGATATTAGAAAGTCTGGGAGAGAGAGTATACAGGGAGGGAAGAAGAGATTAATTTCATTTGCCTTCTCAAAACCTGAGGGAGAAGGAGAGGGAAGAAGGAGGCTATGGGAGAAGGGGTAAATAGTTGAGTAAATATGGTAATGACCTGGTTTTATTTTCTTGAGGGGAACTGTCACCCAAATGGGAGTACTGGAAGACACATCTCTTACAGAACAGTGTTTTCCTAAGGATTTGCATTAACCACTTGAGACTGATTAATATTTACTTCTTTTTTTATCTTTCCTCCTATCACCTTCTGTAGGACGATCTGATAAGCAGAGTAAATGAAGAGATGAAAAGTTATGAGAAAGCATTTACTTAAAAAATGAAAACAGGGAATATGTATGCTAATTTGATATAATAATTAATACATAGAGGCCTTTGATATCTTACAGAAATATTTTTTAGAAGATCCACTCTCAAGAGTAGGTACCCAGATAACAAAATAATTTGAAACATTATGATTTTCTGCTTTCATATTAAAAATATAAATTTGTGTGTTTTATATAAATGAATGACTCATCGTAAGTCTAGCTTAAAATATTTGAAGCTTTATAAAAATCACCACTGTATATAAAACGTTTGCTTATTTTGATCAGCAGATTGATAACAAAGCAATTCTTTTCATCGATAAGGTAATTGTAGTCCTGTTTACTTTAAGGAGTTCTAATGCCATAAAAAATAAAAAATTAAAGAAGTCCAGTGACTTTTTACATTTTTAGCTCCAGTAGCATAAACTTTAAAGACTGACAACTCTAATAATGAGTTTTAATATGAGATCCTGGTTAGAATAGGCTGTGAGAATACTTTTGGAGTCAACTTTTACATTAACTACAATTAGGTATCTTACCAAGTTTCTGATGATCAGCCTTAATGTATATTTTAGACGCTTCAATAAAGTATGTCTATTTCAGATTAAAATAATTCAGAGAACATTCATGGTTAAATCTGGTTGGCTCAAGTACAGATTCATTACCCTCTACTCCACGTGTGTGCCCCTGAATTCAATCAGCCATAACAATCAGCTGAATTCAATCAACCATAACACTGAACGGTGGAGGGATAAACCCCTCACCACCTGATACTATTGCAAAGCAAAAGGCGGGGTGTGGAAGTTCTGTGACTATTAATTTCTACACTCTAAAATGGAACTGTAGAGAAATCACATGTAAACTTACACATAGAGTGTCAATGTTAATTAGGCTTTCACTCTATGCCAGGTACTGGGCAGAAGGCTTTTAAAAATGCACCTTCTCCCAGCTCACTGTGCAGCACATAGCACACTTTTTGAAAGTCGATTAACTGAGGTTCTACTCTAGCACCACCAGCTGTGTGACCTTAGGAAGTCACTTCACGTCAGTGTCCTCATCTGGAAAGAAGAGATCTAGCTATGTCATCAGGTAGTCGTGAGGATTAAAGGATACAATCCCATCGAGCCCTTTACACAGTACCTGGGAGACAGTAACCACTTAGAGGTAGCTCTTCTTTTCATTAGTAGACTCTCAAACCACATTGTTGGAAGGAAAACAGGACATTTTGCCAAAAACAATTAGGACCGTGCTAATAAGTGAGACTAATTTAAAAGTCTCCACTCAGAAAAAGTGACTATATAAACTTAAGGAAAAAGCCCCTCTCAGTTCAGAAATCTAAAACACTGTATCCGAAGTTGTTCTTACCGGAAGCCGCTGCACCGAGAGGTGCCAAGTGGATCCTCAGGCCAGCCGACCCCACTTCTTTTTTGAGAAAGGAAGGGCTGTATCTTGATTGATTGTAAGTAGCATAACTCCCAAGATTGCCTAGTGATGATCATAGGTATCATAATCAGAAGGTGAATATTTTAAGGTTAGCATAACTTTGAATACTACCCCTATTACTTCTAAATACTATTTTTTGAGCATCTACTGTGTTTCAGGCACTGTGTTGTGCTTCTCACAGATATTCTTATTCCATCCATATAACAACCCTCTTAAGATGCCTGCTATTATCCACATCGTGTAGCTCTTCAATATTAAACAACTTGCCTAAGTACTCACAGCTCGTAAGGGACTGAGTGAGAATCTGAACTCGAGGCTCAGGTGTGTTCAGTCCAGGCTTTTTCAGGACCCCAGTTCCTAACGTGGGTGTAAGTTTCCTGCCACAACACCCATCCCTGAAGTGCTCTCTGTGCCTTTCTTCATGTTGTAAAATCGTTATGGGTGAACCTATTCTCATGAGGTTGTTGTAAGGATTGAATAAGACTCTGCAGAGCACTCGGCATAGAATTTGCGGTTCTAAGTGCCAGCTGTCGTCATTATTGTCATCATCACCATCGTCACTATTAGTGAGTGATCGATCTGGGGAAACACAGGGATGAGACAAAGAGCGAAAATCTGAAGGTGGAAGACCAGGAGGTCACTGCTACTGCTGGAATGAGAGAAGATGAGGGCCTGAACCGAGGCAGTCACCGAAGGATGGAGAAGAAGGGAACTGCGTGGGTATAGGGGTGAGGATGGTAGGGAAAGAGGGGAGTAAGTGTGTAGCGTAGGTGACTGGGTGGGTTGTCTAAGAACAACAGTATAGGAGAAGAACAATTTGGGGAAAAGACATGGTGTCCGGAGGATATTCAAGTTGTGGAGGGTGAGTAGGCAGCGTGGAGATCGGTGAGGGTTGGCGGCGGGGGTCATGGAGCTATACGCTGGGACAAGCCGGCACAGAGGATCTGCACAGATATGCAGAGACCCGGAGTAGATCCTCGAGGAACACCAGCATTAAGGGAAAGGAAAGAAAAGGCCTCTGTGGAGGAGACAGAATAGGTAGAGAGATGGGTGGCAGGAAGAATAGGGCACGAAGGTCCCAGAGAACACGTATTGCGAGGACCGAAGGAATGGCAGATGAGACACAGGTCGGAGGTCAGCACTGTGCCAGGGATGTGGCCACGGGGATAACGTCAGGATCGAGCAGGAGCTGCTTCCACGGCATGAAGCAGGCTGAGGACAAGCGACAGAGTTGAGGAGCAAACCAGAAGCAACAGGTGGTAAACAACCTAGCTATGCAGGGCAGACAGGTTTGTCAGCTAGGAGGCGAAACTGGGTTCTGATCACCCTGGCGGTTTTAAAGAACTGTTCGGTTGGCAGCTATCACAGAAGTGTTTTTTTCCATAGTGTTATTTGTTCACTTGTCTGGATGCTGAGCTCTGTCCCTGATGTCTCTCAAGGGGTATAGCAGACTCTCAACAAGTGGTTGCTCTTGAATCAAAAAGTGTCAAAGCAGAGTAACATCAGCCTCTAGAGGATTTTATACAGTGAGCACAGGCTACCAGTCTATACAATTTTTATCTCTATTAAATTTTGCATCAGTGCAGCTGCCTAATTTGACCTTTCTTCTCATGTCAGGAACACATTCTGAATTACTAGTCAGTTCTCTAATTCGGAAGAATTTCTGAAAGGAAGTTCAGAGCGGCGATCACACTCAGATCACGTCCTGTGCTCTCATCCTCATCATCAGAGCAAACGCTTATTAATGTGTAGTGTGTGACAAAAATTCTAGGTATAGTTACAAAATAATAGCTACAAAAATATCATTTCCTCTATTTTATAGATGGGAAAACTAGCTTTAATAACTTGTCCCAAACCAAACAGCTGCTCAGTAACAAAATAGAGATATGCCAGATTCTAAAATTCATGCACCTAGCAGTTACATAATGCTTCTTCTTATTGGAGAAAGAAGTCAAACAGAAATTAAGTCTTCTTAAATTATTTTGGCTCATTATTTGAAGCATCTTGTGAGCTGCAAAATTTTAGGTTGGAGCCAGTGGTTAGCACTGTTGAAACCAGGGACACTGAACCTTAGATAATCCACCGTCCCTATCAAGCCAGTTAAGCCTGTTTTAAAATATAATTGTTATTGCCTCAGAAATTAGTGTCAGAACTTAAAAAAAATTCCAGGAATATTGACCACAATATTAGAAAATATTTTAAATTCTTTTCAACAGAATTATTTGCTTGATTTCTTCTACAGATTGCCATAATTTAAGAAGCACAGAGCTTTCTGAGAGTGAATTTGTCCTAGAACGCCAGCTATTGAAGGATAGTGTTCTTGAGGAAATGGAGTGCTTTTCTTTCTCCTAGTCCTGATTTGACTTCTAAAAGCAGGGCACCTTGGCCTTTTATGTCGGAATTAGAAGCAGATGTTGAGAAGAAAATTAGACAAGAGATTCAAAGCACAAGTTGTACTCATCTACAATGCCCAGAAATTGATTACCTTGTGGGTCCTCTAATTTTTCAGGAGAACTTTCATTGCATGATAGTTTTTCAATTGGTATAATTATGCTTTCTTCTAAAGAGAAGGCAGATGGAAAGAAAGTATAACAGTAAGGAGAATGTCTTAGGAAAAGCAGAGCAAAAATGGATTCAATGATTAGTGAAAAGGCCCGGAAAGAGCTCTTACAATGAGAAAATGTTCTCTTGTGTTGTCCCAGCTTTCATCTGATACCAACTGTATACTCCCTCGAGACTCAAAGTTGTTCTGCTGTCACTTAAATGAATTTGTGTGACTGGTAAGTTAAATGAATCTTGTTTTTAAGTAATTAAGAAAAAATAAGTAAATTGCAGAGCTACAGTGCATGACATCTCAGCATTATTAAACGGATAAGCCGAGTCTCTAAAGAATCGGGAAAACTTGTAAAACGTCCAAGTGCATCGATGCCACATCAGAATACCTACTAGGCTAATCACTCACTCACGACAGTACACACTACAACATCAGTCATCAAACTTTTTTACTCATACCACCTACATTTTTGTAAAAAGAACTCTTTATCTCTTTATACACTTAAGTTGATATCTACAATTTTTCATCATAAGTTTACCAGTTGCAAAAGGCATTATTTTTGGCATACTGTAATTATAGATATTTAAAAATAAAATGATTACATTTCTTCTTTAAATATAATCAATGCAATTTAAATGCCATAGATATGTTATGCCCTCAAATACTGACACACAAATACATGAACAAGTTTCTTTTTGACATTTGAAAATTTCACATTAGCTAGGCTCGGTGGCTCAGCCTGTAATCCCGCGCTTTGGGAGGCTGAGGTGAGTGGATTGGCTGAGAACGTGGGTTCGAGACCTGCCTAGGCAATTTGGTGAGACCTCATCTCTACAATAAATCAAAAAATTAGCCAAGCGTGGTAGCGCACGCCTGTAGTTTCAGCTACTTGGAAGGCTGAAGCGGAAGGATTGCCGGAGCCCAGCAGGTCAAGAGTGGCCACTGAACTCCAGTCTGGGTGATAGAGTGAGACTCCAACTCAAAAAAGAAAATTTCACATTAATTACTTTTCCCCCTCAAATTATATAAATATATATTTTAATATTAAAATTGTGGGGTACAATTAAGGGTTAGGTACACAAATATTCATTGTGCAGGTACCCTTGTTGATGTGTGACCCCCTTCCCCAGGCAGATATCGACTAAATTATATTTTTATTCATATCTCAGCTTCCAGATTTTATCTTTAAATTGATCACTCAAAAATGTGTATAAATGGAAAAAGTTAAATTTATTGTAATCTTAAGTATATTAAAATACTTTTTTCTGGATTAAGTTATCATTAATTACGATGATTCACTGGATATAATACATAAGCAAAGATGAATATTATCAATTTTGATTACTAAACATGAAAAGTAAGTTTTTGGAAACTCATCTTTTAGTGAGAAAGATGGAATTTTCAAGTAGTTCATGTATCAACAAATGAATATTTGTTGCTAGAATCACATGGGGTTCAGCATCAGTGCAATTTCTCTCTCTCTCTCTTTTTTACTATGGGAAATAGAAGCACTGAGAAACCTTGTTAATGCAAATAAATACTTGGGAATGGGAGGGGTTTTGTTACAACTTTGCCACTCTATTCTTTGAACTCTTTTCAAGGTTACAGGTCAAAAATCATATATGAACTCATAAAAAATGATTTTTAGTTACCTGTCGGCTATCAACTCAGTTAGGTTCTCCTTCAATTTTCTGAAAGCTAAGAACTGAAAACCACCTGACTTTATAAAGGGATTGTTCCTCAGTCATCAAATCAAAGTTCCTTACTTTCTCAACAGCGAACCATCAACATATCAGATTTTCCATTTGATTGACACCCCAGATAGTTTTACATTTTGAAGAAACACAAAACACACCATAATAGACAGTGAGAGGTCTTATTTTCTTTTGTAAAGTAGGAAAATAGAGACACTTTGCTAAGGAAGATCTATTTTAGGAAAGACCCAGAAGAAAGCTGAGGATCTGGCAAATGGTTCCCTGAAAACTAAACTATCTGTGATCAAGTATTAGTTGAAAAATCTTTGTGTATTTCCCCAAGTGTATACATATCTCAGTTCAAAGAAGAGAGCAGCAGCTGGGCACGGTGGCTCATGCTTGTAATCCCAGCACTTTGGGAGGCTAAGATGAGAGGATCGCCTGAGCTCAGGAGTTTGAGACCAGTCTGGGCAATGTAGCAAGACATTGTCTCTACAAAAAAAAAAATAAAGAATTAGCTGGGTGTGGCACTGCGTGCCTATAGTCCTAGCTATTCAGGAGGCTGAGGCGGGAGGATTACTTGAGCCCATGAGTTTGAGGCTGTGGTGAACCATGATCTTCCACTGCACTCTATTCTGGGTGACAGAGTGAGACCCTGACTCAAAACAAACAAACTAAAACTGTAAAAAGACAGCTGCAACATATTTAAAGTAAACATCTGTAAAGGAAAACAGTACATATTTATATTTTACATGTATTCTTGCATTACCTGCGTGACTCTTTTTGAAAGAAAGTTCTTCCCCGATGGGTCCCAATGACTTAGGAAATAACGGATTACTCCAAGTGTGGGAGTTCATATCCTTTCCATTGGCTATCAAGGACACGTTCTTGGGATTTACACCTTAGAAGAACAAAGCAGTCATCTCAAAGGTTGGAGTATGATCACCAATTTGAAAGAAAAATATATAATACATTCAAACAAAGACTAGAAATACCTTGGACAGGAGACTGGAAATGAATTTAGATTAAAATGTAGCAGACATCTGCTTTTTGATAAATCCTAACATGATCCTAAGCCCTCAGCACAACAACTGGAATACTGGCAGTTTACTTAATAAACAAGATATTTTCTGTAACATAAATAATAGAAACATTTGACATTCTTGCTGAGTATCTTGTAAAAATTGAGGTAGCACAAACATTTCTTCAAAAGCATAACATTTTAGGATGACTCATGTCACTTGATTTGAGTGTATGCTTTGGAGCAGACCCTTATTGTACCAGGGAAAACAGACCCATGACCAAAGAACTCAAAGAAACCCAAGACGTTCCAAAGTAGATACATAAAGATCCATCTGGAATGCTTATTTGTATACTGGACTTAGCAACATCTAAACAGTTTACCACCTGTTAACCAGAAAGATGATGTTAGAAAAGAGGACAATTTAAATTATGATTTTCTGAAACTCTGTGAAATGGTGAGTGAGCCTTGGGCTTTGGTACTAGTGGGTTGTTTAATCTGTTTTTAAGATACTTGAAAACTTCTGAGCTTGTTTTCTTTTTTACTGATAATTAAATTTGACCGAACTTCTGAGATGCTACCTATCACACAGTCATTCATGTAGTGTTTTCTTTTCCTTCTTTTTTTTTTTTTTTTTTGAGTTGGAGTCTTAACTCTTTCACCCAGGCTCACAGCCACCGCAGTCTTGACCTGCTGGGCTCAGGTGATCCTTCCACCTCAGCCTTCCAAGTAGCTGGAATTACAGGCATGGTTTATTATAGAGAAGAGGTCTCGCCAAGTTGCCCAGGTTGGTCTCGAACCTGTGGGCTCAGGTAATCCTCTCAATTCGACCTCCCAAAGTGCTGGGATTATAGGAGTGAGCCACTGCGCCTGGCCCATGTAGTGTTTTCTTTAACTAGTGTAGAAATGAGCACGGAGGTCTCCATTGAGTTAGGAAGTTGGAACTGTCTTCAGGAAGCATGAGCTTTTACTTGTCACAAGCTTAATTCCTTAGACAGGCTTCACATTTATGAGATATATAATAATGCCTCTTAAAACCAGAAATACTGAGCCTCAAAAGTTACCCATCATTGGTTTTCTAAGGAAACACTCCATCAGGCAAATAATTTTCCTTTCTTATAGGATGTAACTCCCTTAATAAAACGCCTACAAATAGAACTGTAATAGGCAACCACTTGATGATAAAGAAGATACACTAGGTGACAATTACTCATATTAAAAACATTTTTACCCGACTACTCGTGGTGGCTCATGCCTGGGATCCCAGCACTTTGGGAGGTCGAGATAGGAGGATTGCTTGAGTCCAGGAGTTCAAGACCAACCCAGACAAGACAGTGAGACCTTATCACTACAAACAAACAAAAAGAGTGGTACATGCCTGTAGTACCAGCTATTCAGGAGGCTGAGGCAGAAGGATCTCCTGAGTTCAGGAGGTCAAGGCTGCGGTGAGCTGGTGCCACTGCACTCCAGCCTAGGTGAAAAACTGAGACCCAGACTCAAAAAAAACAAAACAAAAAAAAGTATCCCAAAAGAAAGGGCCGGTAGGGGAAAAAGTGAAAAAAATCTCTTTAAGTGAACAGCTTTCATATAGTTCAACAAAAAAATGGGGCCTAAATATTTAAATTATTTCGTTAATCTGGTTGGTCTTGGCAATAACCTTAAATAGGTTTTTAAAATAGATAATTAGTTTAATTCAGGTATTTTTAAGATAAAGATTCTAACTTTGTTGAAAAAAGACATATACTAGAATTTTAAATTATTTGTTGGTTTATGAGCTTCCATCTACATAACAAACGCTGTTAGGAAGAAGCAGAAATTAATATAATTTAAAATAATAATAGATATCATTATGTGGTGATAACTCTTCCCCTCAAAGGGATCAAAACGTCAGCAAATATTTACTGAGCACCTACCAATGCCAGGCAGTGTGTGGCACCAGAGAAAAAGTGGTAAATACAACAGGCCAATTCCTACTCTTTTGGCTCTTAAAATCTAATGGAAAAGGAGACATTTATAGTTATAATCAGTTAGTAAATTATTAGCAGTGTGCAAATTGTTTAGAAGAAGCTGATATGGAGAATGATCCTCAGTCAATCTCTCTTTCAAAATGCGATTTTAAGCTGAAGTATGTTCCTGGGAGAGGCAACAGTTTGGGCAGAGGACCTGGGATGGGGAGGAACCCAGAGATGGTCAGCATGGATGTCCAGCAGCAGCAAGAACACAGAGAGGGAAAACTGAGGCTGGGAGGGAGGGGGCGGAGGGCCAGGTCCCAAGGACTTGGGATGTCCTGTTGGGAGATGTAAAATGCAGGAGAGGCTGATATAGGAATGGCACAGGACTCCGAATGAGCAGGGTGGAAAGAAAGGTGGCAAGTGATAAGTAGGAAGAGAGAGGATCCACAGGCCAAGGTTTCAAAAGTGCTGGGGAGGGAGTGGCTTTCCGACTGGTAGTGCTGGCATCCTGCTCAGAGTCCTGGTTCTAGAAGGGCGGGACCCAAGTGGGCACTGCTGAGAGATCATTAGCGTTCCCCTTGCATACTCTATTCGCCACTACCGTGTGATAATTAGGTTCCTAAGGCTTAGAGGGTGAGTTGAGAGAGGATGTGGTCCCGCTGTCAGTAACAAAACAGAATTTCAAAGTCTTGCTCCAAGCACACAGCTGGTTGGTAACAGGTCAGTAATATGACTCTTGTGTCTCTTTCCCTGAAGGCCAATGTCACAGATCTGTCAGTCCTTGTAGTATAATGCCATGCTGCACTGAAATCATATGGTACATTTCTAGAGCTCCCATAATTCTAACAGTTGATGCCTAATACGACCATTTATACTTGGCTTTAAGGTAAAAGAGGGCCCCAAAAGGCATAATTCTTTTCTTATTCCCAAAGATATTCAATTACAAAAATAACTACAGATCATAAATAAATGTCAAGGATTGCTTCTTATTTGAGCACAGTAGCTGGTTCACAGAAGGTGCTCAATAAATATTTGTCCAAGTGGCTGGACTGAGCCAATTCTAGTTTCAAATCTAATCCAGCTCTAGAGGGGTCATTTTCAAGACAAAGAATAACAATAAAGTAAAAATGAGGCTCAACTTTAGATTTCAAACAGTTCTTTGTAATTTTGAGTCTATATTTAAAGCTTCCATTACATTCATATTTCTGATCCCAAGTAATTTGCAGAATTTGTTAGGGCCTGCTAGTTAAAAAAGAAATGATCCTACAGGTCTCACCCTGAAATATATTCTTGAAAAACCACATTAGGAAGCAGGACTACGAAAACTGGGTGGTTTGGCTCAAAGGATAAATATCTTTTGCCAAAAATTTACAATAGCCTTTCTCACCAGAGGGCTCACTTCTATAAGTAAGAAAACGCTGATTTGCTAAATGTCAGTCAGTAAAGTGTACTTAATTTTTTTTTGTCATACTCTAGCATTCTTTCATTTTTTAAGCAGTATTTTTTATTTCAATAGCTTTAGAGGGTACAATTTTTTTTAAACATGGAAAAAAGCATCTCCCATGAATCTGTGTTCTGGAAATTTTTTTGCATCCCTGCTCTCGCAGTCAGATTAGAACTCTCTCATGATTTCAACACCAAAATTTACAAACCTACTGGTTTCTAGAGATTACCACCCAAGGGTTTCTGCTTCTTTCAGAAGGGCTCCCCAGCCGTTATGGTCCTATTCCAACTCCTCTTGCCTTTCTGAAGATTCAGCCCCTCACTCGTCTCTCTCCTCCAGCACCCCCAGTTCCTCCCTCTGTAAGAGACCCTTCCCATCAGCAAGCAGACATGCTCCAGAGCACGGCAGAAGCGCCCCCTGCATTCCGTGTTGGCTTGATTCCACTTCTGATCTCTTCAGGATAAACTAGGATGAAGCAGTCTAAATAAGAACGGCCATTTTTACAAAGATTATAAAGAAATATGTGTGCAAACTCCTTACCTTATTAGTGTAATGGCATGACAATTTTCTGTTCAAAAACATTAGCATAACCTGTATTTTTTCCCTCATTTTCAAGAATCAAAGCATAAGGCCACAAATAAAATAGTCTTTCCCAAACTATCAGAGAGATTACAGTAGTGAAAAGCTGATCTAATTTAGGAAAAAAGGATTTTAAAATCAATTGTAGAGTTTCAAAAACTAAATATTCCCAATTTTTAGAAAGTGTCCAAAAAAAAAAAAAAACCCTAGCAAATGCTATGTTAACATCTTATGTTAGTAACAACTGTACTGTATAGTGAATTTTCTAATCCCTATCCCTTGCTCACAAGAGTCTTTTTTATTTTTTAATTGATATATTATAGTTGTATATATTTTTGCAGTACATGTGACATTTTGACTCATACATGCAATGTATAATGATGAATCAGGGCAATAGGGATATCCGTCACCTCAAACATTTGTCTTGTCTGTATTGGGAACAATTCTTCTCTTCTAGCTATTTTGAAATACAAAGTAAACTACTGTTAACTATAATTTCCCTATTGTGCTTTTGAATACTATAAATTATTCCTTTTAACTATATTTTTGCCCCATTAACCAATTATCTTTATCATCCCCTAACTATTTTAATAAGATCTTTGTAAATTCATTTGGTATATGCTACTAATAAGAGTTATATAAGTTCCCCCTCCCCCTTTCTCTATCCAGATGTACACAGTTTTTCTAATTTTATGACCCAGGTTTTTTAGAGTTCACTTCCCATGTCTTACCCTGATGCCATATAGCCTAAGTAATTTGCTTACAACAAAACAAACATTAACTTCCTTAGATCTGCAAATACTCAGATTTGCTCTGCTCTTGATAACTTCATGCCAATGTCTTCAACCTTTCTTAGATACGCTAGTGTCTTCCTTCTCACAAATCAGCACAGGAGTGCAGTCCTAAAGCCTTGATTTGGTGTCCATAAGCTTATTTCAACTCATTCAGCACCTGTGGCTAAACTGAAACACTCACTGTGCCTTCTGTTTTCTATCCCATTCATTTCTAAATCTTTTGTTTGTTTGTTTGTCTCACCAGTTACTAACAACAGGAGTAGGTCTCAACTAGATGCCTTGAACTTAAATTCATATAGTTACCTAAAAGGTATATAGAAAAATATGTTATATATCTATCTCTTGCTAACAATCCAGTCTCAACTGTTTCTCTCATCTGCTTTCCCCCTCCTTCCCAAACAAGTTTCTGGAAAATGGAGACTCAGATGTGAAAAGCAAATCTTCCTTCAGTAAATAGTGGCCTGCTCACTGTGTTTAGAAAACTATAAATGACCATCCCACAAAAACATATCACCTTCCCTCACTAAAGATATATCTGTACAGATACATGAGTATTTAAAAATTGATTCCCTTTTATAGTAAATTGAATTTAAAAATTTTATTTTTTATTGGATTTAGAAGAAAATGCTGTTTGCAGGCACATCAGAAACTCCCCCACTGTCTGTCTAGAGCTTTCTCCTGAGCTCCAGCTTCATATATCCAGGTATCTATTAGAGAGATCAACTCAGATGTTTAATAGGCACTCCAAACTCAACCCTCGATTCTTTCCCTCCACACTCCTGTCCTCTCCTCATCTTCCTTTTCTCACCCCATCCACCAATGGTCAAGTCAGAGCCTCAGAAGCAGAAATGAATTCCTTCCACTCCTTCCCATCACCCATGAGAATCTATCTGCAAGTCCTATTGGTTCCACTTATGAAATTTCAACCACTTCTGTGTCTGCTGCTTCCACTCTGGAACAAGCCATTACCCTCTCCCATCTAGACAAATGCAATGGCTTCTTGAACAGTATCCTTACTTCTCTTGACCCCACAGCATGCTCTACGCAGTAGCCAGAATGATCTTTTAAAAACATCATTTAGAAAATAGTATAAAAAATTCACATTTTATGAAAAAATATAATGAGGATGCAGAATTGCTTCAATAAAATTTAGCATTTGCTAAATGCATAGATGGTTAGGTTTAGTGGCTCATGTCTGTAATCCCAGCATTTTGGGAAGCCATGGTGGGAGGAATGCTTGAGGCCAGGAGTTCTAACCAAGCCTAGGCAACATAGTGAGACCCCAACTCTACCAAAAACCAAAACACCACACAAAAATGAAATGCATAGCTTTGGTGAAGAAAGGCGAGATTTTCTGAAACACAGAGATCATATTTATTTTTGGCTGCTAAGCATTACTCAAGCAGACTTCTACTAGTGGGAGAAACAAGAGGGCCAGAAAAGTCTTTGGCAACAGGCTGAGACACCGAAGAGCTCCATGATTATATTATTTGTTTCACTGGTGCCCTTTCTTTAGAGACTCAAAGACACCTGAGTCTGACTTACCTGTACTCTAGTCAGTGGTAAACATTTTATTTTTTCTACTTACCTGGAAGGTATCTTGATTGTTTCAAGTAGTACTGTTTTGCTGTTGAGGCAGTTGACAATTCAGAATCAGATTTTAGGGAAACAATGGCAGGTAAATTCTTGTTTTCCCCTGTGGGGTTGTTGGAGCCTGAGGGTACTGACTCTGGAAGCCTTGAAAATCAATATAAAGTAGTATTACAGCATGAACATGAACAACCAGGAGATGTTCTCACCCATCCTCTGTATATCTTTTCAAACTAATCAATGTGACCTCACTTAAATCGTTTCTGGAAGAGTCCTTTGGCTAAATGACAACTACTTCACCCCACATAGATATCAGACAGCACAAAGCACCATTTCTGATAAAAGAGAGTATGCGACAGAAAGCTTTATAACTGATCAGCAGTTTTCTTGCACATAATCGGTTTCTATCTTTCCTGAAACTGCTACAGTGTGGATTCCTAATTCCAGTTGTTGGTGTGTTGAAAGGGAAGACAATCATAACCATCTTCACCTGTCAAGTAAAATCATTTATAGTCATAAAGCTGGTTGTGGTCGCCTGTGCCTATAGTCCCAGCTACTTGGGAGGCTGAGGCGGAAGGATCTCTTGAGCCCAGGCGTATGAAACTAGCCTGGACAACATAGTGAGACGCTATCTCCAAAATAAAATAAAATAAAAACTTGTAATCAGCAAGGTGGTTTAAGGCACAGTTTGGATAGGCTAAGAAAACTGAGGTAGGGGAAGTCGTGCTAGAAAAGCTCCCACATAATATTTCCAATTACCGTAGTGACATACATGGGAAATAGGTATTGATTGAGACATGCCTGTTCCCCCATAGGCAGAACAGACTTGCGCAGTGGCTAAGCACCTGGCTAGCTGTGCAGTGATGTCAGTATTAAGACTGACTCTCTGCCTCTTGACCCCTGCCTCCCAAACCTGTTCCTGAGTAAGAACTGAGATTGTTCAGCTTCTAGCTTTAGTTCTGTCTCATTCCTGATGCCATTTTAACCAAACAGCAATGTAAGAGCCAACCGTCACCAGCAGAGGATGAACCTGTAACTTATTCTGCGGCCGCTCTATGTGCTGTAATGAGCCCTTCATAACTGATCTTCTCCTTCCCACTCTCTGCCTGGGTCTCCTCCTTTGCTGGGCCTGAACGTGCTGCCTAACTCCCATCACCTGTCTAACTCCAGCATCCATGATTGCCGTCTAGAAATCCACACTACCACACCGCACTGATTAAGTCGACTCCCTTGGAAATGGTCACTGATGTGGCTGGCCCTCTGAACGTCTGACCACCCACTTGAGGACCGTTTTAGACACAGGTGTGTCTTCTGTGAACAGCCCCACCCATTTCTGCCATCCTTGTCTTCCCCTGAGCCCATAGTTATGCCATTTACTGAAATACTACTTATTCTCAAAAATACTCTCTCTAAAAAGACTTTCTTCATCTGAGTGGTCTATCCATAGACAGAAATCTTAGAGCTCCTTGCAGCTCCATCATAAGGGCACTAAATTCACATTCTTGTGTTGTAGGTCTTTGAAAGTCTTATTTCTGCTGCTATATATTTGATGGGTTGAAGACAGCCTTAATACCAACTAGGTATTTAGTAAATGTCTACTGAGTGTAAATACAAGTGTGAGTATAAATACTTGCTTTATTCACTTAAAAAATACAACTATTAAATAAAAAGGTTTATAGTTTAGTATGTGGCATTCTGCTTTCTATGGGGAAGTCCTGTCTGCCTGAGAAACCCAGCAGGGAGCAGCAGTCTGTTCAACCCACCAAGCACTTGAGCGCCTCCTGCTGAAAAGGTAGTGTGGTGTAGAAGAGAGGAAGACCTGGATTTGAAGTAAGCCTCATCTGATGTCAGGCAAGTTACTCAACCTGCCTGAGTCTCAACTAATTGGAAGACTGTGGCGGAAAGATTGCCTGAGCCCGGCAGGCCGAGGCTGCGGTGGCCTTGAGCATGCCGCTGCACTGCAGCCTGGGCGACAGAGGGAGACTCCGACTCAAAAAGCAATAATCATAATCCAAGAGAAAGGAGATGGCTAATGTCGTGGAAATTCACCAATTGTTCCCTTGCCAGAATAAGGCACATAAACTGCAACATTCATCTTAACTACAGGTTTTGATTCAAGCCTCTGCTATCCTCAAAAAAAAAAGAATAGATTTCAGCTGAGATGAGAATAATATGGATTTTTGGAAAGGTTTTTGAGTCATCTACATACTACACCAGTGGTCTTCAAACTCTGTTCCTAGAACCAAATAATTGTTTTTAAATAACTATGTAACTTCTTGTATGTCTTTAAGTTGACATCTATAATTTTGCATCATAAACTGGGTTCGGTGGCTCAGCCTTTAATCCCGCACTTTGGGAGGGCGAGGTGAGTGAATTGCCTGAGCCTACGGGTTCAAGACCCGCCTGGGCAACTTGGCAAGACCTCATCTCCACAATAAATCAAAAAATTAGCCGGGCATGGTAGCGTGTGCCTGTAGTTCCAGCTACTTGGAAGGCTGAGGCAGAAGGATCGCGGGAGCCCAGCAGGTCGAGGCTGTGGTGGCCGGGAGTGGCCACTGCACACCGGTCTGGGCGACAGAGTGAGACTCCAACTCAAAAAAAAAAAAAAATTTGCACCATAGATTAAATGTTTGTTTCTTGTTTCTTGCTAATCGCAGTTAGAAAACAGTAAATATTTTGTAAGATGAAATATTGTGAGGATTGCCTGCAATTGGATTATTGCATAGTATGACTTGATACAATAAGTTTTAACTACCTTATCATAAAATACTCTGAATCTTCAAAAAAATTACATAAAATTTTAATCTGTGGGTTTTGAAAAATCAGATGGTCCTACAAAACATTTGAGTACATTTAAAAAAATACATATCACTAACCCCTGTTGCCTCAGTGATTTCAAATCTCCATGCTTTCTAACAATCTGAACTATAGTAACCCCCTTATCTACAAAGGATAATATAAGACCCCCAGTAGTTGTCTGAAACCACAGATAATACTGAACCCTATATAGACTGTTTTTTCTTGTATGTATATATATACCTATGATAAAGATTAACTTATCAATTATCGCACAGTAAGAGACTAACAACAATACCTAATAATAAAATAGAATAATTTTAACAATACACTGTTATGAAAGTTATGTGAATGTGGTCTCCCTTTCAAAATGTCTTATTGTACCCTCCCATGAGTAACTAGAACCATGGAAAATGAAACTATGAATAACGGGGAACTTCTGTATCCTATTTGTACGCATCAGTTTCCCTTTTAAAGAAATATGTATAAGGCAAGGAACAACAGAAAGGTTTCTGAGTTGAAGATACCAGTCTTCTGATTTCTCCTTTTGCTTAGTGCCTCAAAGATTGTTACACCCCAGTAAGATTTGAAATGGCTGAGGAGTGTGACTTTCTTGCCTAAAGGGGGACGGGGATTAAAAGAGTTTTTTCTCAAGTTCATGTATTTTAGGAAAGAGTATTTATGGAACATAAGGATCTGAAAATTGATTGACTAAAAATTATCCAAGTATATGTACCTCTTAGAGTATCTTCAAGGGTATGTAGATCCCAAAGTGAAGACTCTGTGCTAGTCCATGCCAAGCAGCTATTGGACAAGTTTCCCTAACCCACGACACAACTTTTCCCCCTATTCCTCCTCTGTTCCAAGGGGAAAAAAAGTTGAATGGATCTTTCCAAAATATTCACCAAAATTTAACTCATCTAACTTTTTAAAGTTGAACAATGCACTTATGATGACCTAATTTATAAAAAGAAAAGAACTGCTAGAGATATTAAACTTCCAGAAAAGTTTCAAAAATGATTTAAAAAAAAGTTTAGGACAGCAAGCAAGCTAATAATTAAAACTTTATCCCATCAGAAGAAACCACTTTGTACATGGTTCTCTGCCTTCTGCATGTGAGTTTCAAATGGGAATAATGATGATGATAATTCACAGGAGTACAATAAAAACTGAACAAGAACCTCTCTCCCCCCCTACACACACTCATCCATTAATACCAAGAATCATTACAGTAAGAAGTCAAGATTCTTACCTTTTCATAGGTATGCATAAATATTCGGGTTTTGTAGAAGAAAACAATACTAAGTTACCTTTTTGTCTTTAAAGGTTTAGATTCACTTATATTAATGAGCAAAATAAAGTTGATGCATGGTAAAAATACATTTTCCTGAGAAATTTGAAATCTTACCGAAATGGAGAATCTTTTTTCCTTTTTTCTTTGAAAACGCCCATGCTTGGTTTCTTGGAATGAGAGGCTCCAAAATCACAGTCCTCAAACTCCTCCCCGCTGTCTCCAGACTTAAAGACAGTCTGACCCCAACGCCTCCTAGCACCTTTATGACCCAGGGGGCCATTTGATTTCTGTGGTAGGAAATCTGTTGTCACAATCTTTAACCATGCGCTGATGCCTTTCATGCACAAGCTATTATATTAGACATTAAGAGACTCCATCCTCAAGGAGGCTTCTACACATTTAAAAGAATAACATATATACATTTAAAAGCACAAATAGAATAAGTAGAACATACCAAAATTATGATGGGTGTTCAGAGGAGAGATCTTTGGGTTGAAGAGAGATTTGAATATTTAGGATCTGAGTTGACCCTTCATTGGTGAGAAGGATCTGGAAAACAGACTTGGCTGTGTCTCTTTTGGCCAGTTGTTTAACTTCTCAAAGCCTAGTTGTGGGGAGCGGATGAGATGTGGGGAGTGAATGAGCGCTGTCCGAACAACGGGCCTTGAGCAAAGCAAGGCAAGGCCCCACGCGTGGGCAAGGTCTTGCTTGGTTGCTCTGCATCCTAGCCAAAGAGCAAGGGATGCAGCCTCTGCACAGAACGGTGTCTCAGATGCCCACACATCCGAGTGCACATAGTTACAGATAAAGCCTTAACTACAACAAGATAGCCGTGGAACAGCTTGCCGTTTAGGTAGCAACAAGATTCCATGATGGCTCCCTCACAGATCTTGAATCCCTTTCAACGTCCTTTGTGCTTGATTATAGAATCAACATGCTGAGCTAGTTCGGGGCCACTTCTCCTCCATCAGAGGAACGTGTCCCACCTGGCCCCAGCTTTTCTTTATGTCTTTGTGTCTGTGTCTTTTGTAATCTCTCACCACTGTCTCTCGGGACCCTCAAGGCAGCTGCACGGCTGCGGCACCTAGTGTTCTTCTCCTTGAGTAGAGATAGTCTTAAGGAGGAGGACACTAAGGCTGGCCTGGGCCAGTGTCTTTTATTCATCTCTCTCCTAGAATGCAGACATAATACCCCAAAAAAGCAGCAGTTATCCTGTGGCCACAAGCATGAGAGCCACCTGTTAATATAAGACCCCCAGTAGTTGGAACAGGCGACAGTAGCAACCTGGTTCCTTCAGAAGCTGCATGAGTTTTGGGTTGCTCACCACCCAGCCCCTATTGTTTAAGCCACAGTAGTTGCGTTTCTGTCATAAGTCATTAAATGTAACAACCCTAATGGACACAGGGAGGGAAGTGTGAGTCTGATTGTTTCACACTGATGGCACCATTAACAGAAACAAAGAATGAAGAAGTTCTGGCTTGGGCAGATGATGAATTGGCTTGATACAAATTTACAGAGAGTGGTTTTGGGGCATATAAATGAAAAACTCCAATAGGCAACTCAAAATGAGAAAATAGAGTGTGGAAGAAAGGTCAGTAAATACAGCTATATTGGCAGGAAGATGCTGAAAAAATGGATATGCTATTGCTTGCAGCTGATGGTGTCATAGTGACAAATGATGACAAAAAGTAGTATCTGTCAACTTCTGTAATATTTTCTTAGCCAGGGAGAACAATCTCCAGGCTGAAGAGAATTAAAGGATCTGAAGCTCCAGGTGAGCTGAGTTACCTAGAGCTAGAGTGACCTAGAAGGTTACAATCAGCTGAGTTCAAGCCTCCTTTTCACTGAGTTGTATTTTTGGGTGCCGATGCTAAATATAGCTGATCAATGTCAGCGATCTCCATGAATCATGTATGTCTGAGAAGACTGTAAAGGGACAAATACAAATAATTTTCATAACGTTGAAGGTGGATTTTTGCAAATTTCAAATTAGTGGTATGAGGACAAAGATTCTAAAACTTTTTTTTTTTAAATTAGAAGTCTCATTCTGTCACCCAGGCTAGCATCCAGTGGCACACTCATGCCACCGCAGCTTCGACCTGCTGGGCTCAGATGATCCTTCTGGCTCAGCCTTCCAAGTAGCTGGAATCACAGGCACATGGCACTACACCTGGCAAATTTTTTTTTATTTACTGTAGAGACAAGGTCTTGCCAAGTTGCCCCAGCTGGTCTTGAACCCCTGGACTCAGGCAACCCAAAGTGCTGGGATTATAGGTGTGAGCCATGATGCCCAGCCTAAAATCAATTATTAAAGGGAAAATTTGTGGGCACCAAGGAAAAAAGTGGTGGATTACATTTGCCACCATTTTTTATCAAGAGCAAATAATGAATCTGTTAGATGTAGCATATGTGGACTGGAGCAAGTGGGTGACAGAATTTTTCATGAAATAAAGTGATGAAAGGACAGCAAAGGTGAATCAGCATATAATTTGACCAAGGGTACTGACAGATGGGGCAATGTCAGTCTAGAAGAAAGTTCCAGTGGCCTGCCCAAGGGCTCACTGCTATTGGATTCATCAGGAAAACATAGGAGAAAAAAAAAACAACAAAACAGCCAAACAAATCCGCAGCTGGCAATAGACCAGGAAGAATGATTAAACTGAGAAGAAAATAATAACTAGAAATTTGAGACTTAAGAGTGAGGTCTTGTGGCTTTTTGAATACTAGAGATCAAATACAAGTAAAGGTATGGAATATGTGATTTAGCAGAAGTATTTCTAAAAAACAGGTAGATGTGGAAATGTTAGTTGTCAGAATGCTCCATCCCAGCTCCGGAATTTATTAGCGATATAAGGCTTTAGGGGGCTGGGTTATTGGGTACTTTAACTTAGGGCATATATATAGGAGGTCTGCCATACTGCACAGCACATAGTAGTTACCCAATGAATATTAATGTCCTTTCCTTCTCTCTCAGTATGAGTCAACATTTGATTCGCCTCCCCATCCTTACACACACACACACAAAGGAATGTAATCCTTAATTACGTGGGTGAACATATGGTCCTAGAAGGCTGGAGGTGGTTCACCCTGCCCTATACTCCCTACCCACTGCCTGCCTCAAGCTTAGGCAGCCTCATTCTACATGGGAAGCAAGACGGTGAGGGGGTTTAAAAGCACCTTCATATGTGGAGCATAGGAAGGAACCGGAGATGTTTCTCCCAGAGCAAGGAAAAGATAATATAAGGACTTATCTCCAAACACCCTAAAAGGCTGCCTTTCTAGAAGAGTGATTTGCGTTTGTTAAAAGCTACAGAGTGCATGCCTGTAATTCCGGCTACTCGGAAGGCTGAGGTGGAAGAATCGCCGGAGCCCAGCAGGTCGAGGCTGCGGTGGCCGGGAGCGGCCACTGCACTCCAGTCTGGGCGACAGAGTGAGACTCCGACTCAAAAAAAAAAAAAAAAAAAAAGCTACAGAAAACCAGATTTTAGTTCAGTATAAGGAAGATCTTTCTAATGTTCAGAACTGTCCCAAAGACTCCCTAAGACCCTGGAGGTAGTTTAAAAACAGTGTGAACAATTAGTCATTTGACAAATATTTATTGAGAATCTACTATGTGGCAGGCACCATTCCAGGTTCTGGGGCTACATTGATAAACAAAACAGTTAAACATTCATGACATCATGAAGCTTGCAAGCTAGTAGGAAAGGCCAAATAACAAATAGGAAATGTAAGAAACAAGTAACTCATAGTATAGTATGTTAGAACGTGATCAGTGCTAGTGGAGGATGGGAGGCTCACTTACACCAGGATGGCAGGGCAGCTGGGGACTGGAAAAGGAATGAGATACAGTGTCGGTCAGTATCGCTCTGAGTCCCCACATGCCATACATTTGAGAGTATACACTCGAGGGGACAGCTAAAACATGAAGGCACACAGTGAGCTCTGGGAATGGAATAAAAGAAGTGGGAAGAACAAGTTTTATTCTGTGCCTGACACTTGAAAACCCCATTCTGTTCATGTTCATTAGCATTTAAAACAGTGTAAAATTACAGTACTGTTAAAAATCTTTAAGATTTAGGATCAGAGCCGGGCTCGGTGGCTCAGCCTGTAATCCCGCGCCTTTGGGAGGCTGAGGTGAGTGGATTGCCTGAGCCCGCGGGTTCGAGACCCGCCTGGGCAGCGAGACCTCATCTCTACAATAAATCAAAAAATCAGCCGGGCGTGGTAGCCATGCCTGTAATTCCGGCTACTCGGAAGGCTGAGGCGGAAGGATCGCTGGAGCCCAGCAGGTGAGGCTGCGGTGGCCGGGAGCGGCCACTGCACTCCAGTCTGGGCGACTGAGTGAGACTCCAACTCAAAAAAAAAAAAAGATTTAGGATCAGGACTCTGATCCTTTAAAATTCTTTCTTTGAATTCTTCTGCATTAAAAGTAACTGTAAAAAGAAGTCTGTAGAATGCAAACCTTATTACTTTCCTTCTAAAAGTTTTTCCTTTTATAAATCATAGAATTTTAAGTTATCTTATGTCAAGCTCCTACCAGAGGAAGCAGAGGAAGCAGAGGCTTTACACAGAACAATCTCTTATATCTTTCCCAATATTATTAGAAATACCTCAAAACAGAACCCCAATGGTGCTAGTCAAACTATTTAACTTCAAGTGTCATTGCTGGCTACTTACAGTTGGCATGTTTTTGACGATACTTGGAAAGAGTGTTTGTGGCGGTTTCTGCTGACTCTGTTGCTTTGGAGGTTGTTGGGCACTCATGTCCTGTGGTGGCTGGATGGGCTGCAGTGGTTGGTGGCTGGTTTTTGGCTGGGGCTGTCCAACAGGCTGATCAATTATATCTGGCAGAGACTTAGGCTCTAGTTCAACTAAAGATGGCTTCAATTCTAATGGTTGTAATGACTTATTTAAAGATTGTTTTGATTCAAGATGACTTGAGGAAGGACCTAATACCTGACCAACTTGAAAATACGGGTACTTCAATGCCTATAAAACATAGAAATAACAACAAATGAAACTATGATTATCTGATATGGGCTAGGCCTTTATCCTTCGCCTACATGAGCTTCAGATATTTAGAAAGCATCCATTTTCCCCCTATGTGGTGCCCTATGGGTGACTTTAAAAGGATAACCTGTTGGTTCATGCCTGTAATCCCAGCACTTCGGGAGGCCGAAGTAGGAAGATCACTTGAGGCAAGGAGTTTGAGACCATCTTGGGCAACAAAGCAAGTCCCTATCTCTACAGAAAAATTAAAAAATTAGCCGGGTGTCTCAAAAAATAAATAAAATTAAAATAAAATGATAGCCAGAAAAATATGATTTGAGAAATACATCGCATTAAAAAAATTAAAAAGTACAAAGAGGAAAAATATAAAACTCGTTATTTTAACATCTAAACAAAAAAAAAAAAAACCCATTCTATTTATTTAAAGATTTTGTATGAAAACAAAATCTAACTTATAAACATTGGTTAAAGTTGTGATTAATTCAAACGAAAATACTAGATGATAATAATGGTTTAGAGTACACTCAAAGACATTAAGAAGTGAGTTAAGAAAACGTTCCACATTTTATTTAAAATGATTAACCACAGCTATATATAAATTCAGGTTTACTCTCAGGCTGAGTATAATAGACTTACCAGCAGTACAAACATTTTAAGAAAGAAAACTATACACACATATGTGTTAAATGCTATTGTATCAATATACCAGCAAAGGGAAGACATTTATGGGAAGAAAATATTAAAATGCTAATAAAATGATCACTGAGTTTTATCTAGAACAGTCATCCAATTTCTTGCATAGGGGAAAGGACCTCCTGATGTCTGGGTGGCATAGTCTAGAGCAGTGCTTCTCAACTTGGGAGATATTTGGCAATGTCTGGAGACCTTTCACATTATAACAACAGGGCTTGGGAGATGCTACTGACATCTAGAGTCTAAAGGGCCAGGAGTGTTGCTAAATATCCCATAATACACAGGACAGTCCTCTACAACCAAGAGTCCAAAATGGTCCAAAATGTCAATAGGGCTGAAAGTGAGAAAATATTCTAGAGAATGTCCGAAGCCTATACAGCTCAGATGAGGAACAAAATCCCCTTAACAGTATCACATACCTGGATGAAGGAGGAAACTTCCCAGCCCTGCTGCCTCTTGGCTGTTCTTTTTTCATGGGGGTGGACTCCTTGTAATAGCCAAGCCCCATTCCCCTGTACCTCCTGCCCTTCCCCAGCCCACCTATATGGGAACACAGCCCTGACCAACAATTAACTCCTTCTCAGATGTGTAAGGGCATCGACCGCCGTATCACCCTGAATGCGCCTGATCTCATCAGATGTGTAAGGGCAGTTTTTGAGGAACAGAAGGCAGCTCTGTACTTTAGATGGTCTCTAAACCCTACAAGTTAGCCAACCTTTCACCCTACCTAGGTCTCCCTGCTTCAACTAAAAAGCAGGGCTGTGAAACAGTGCACAAGAAAGAGTTAGTCAAGGGCTAGGGGAAGGGCAGGGAGGTATATTCTGGCTGTGGTAAAAGTTTTCCTTTTAAGATGTTTCCTACTGCAACTGATGGCTAGCTATATTAATATTGCTAAGTGGAATGCAACAAATATAGATAATTTAAATACCTCAGTACCTCCCACACAGAAGTACTAAAATTCTGAATTAAGTCACATTAATTAATTAGTATGTCAACACTCCTAAATTAATGGCACATATATCAGAGCTGAAAACTTTGAGAAAGTGCTTTGTAATTTCAAGACTTCATTTGTAACAACTCTTCCCCTTTAAGATATCAGCTACAATTTTTCAAAAATAGGAAAAACTTTTAAATATAATATTTAATTTGTTCCCTATTTATTAAGGGAATAAGTAATCATTGTGGAAAATAAGAAGCGTATAGTGTTCTCAAGAAGAAAATAAAAACTTGACACCCAGATACAATCACTGCTAACATTTTTGATATTTTTCTTTTCAGTAATTTTTTCTCATCATATAACATGTATTTTTTAAACAAAGTCATATTATATGTATAATAGCATTTGAGTATCAGATTGTTCTTAAATTGCTTAAAAATTTTATATTAAAAAATTCATTATTAATGGTGGCAGTGTATTCCAAATTAAAGACGCACATAAATTAAATTTGGAAACATTTAGATTAATTCTCAAGGGGCAGTTTTCAACTGGAATCGAACATCTTTGATTGATTGATTGAGTTGGAGTCTCACTCTGTCGCCCAGGCTGGAGTGCAGTGGCATGCTCACAGCTACGGTAGCCTTGACCTGCTGGACTCAGGCGATCCTTCCCCCTCGGCCTTCCAAGTAGCTGGGCCCACAAGTGTGCAGCACTATGCCCGGCTAATTTTTTGGCTTGTTGTAGAGATGAGGTCTTGCCAAGTTGCCCAAGCTTGTCTCACTCCTGGGCTCAGGCAATCCTCTCGCCTCTGCCTCCCAAAGTGCTAGGATGACAGGCATGAGCCACCATGTTCGATGGAATTGAATATCTTTAAGCAAAAATCTTTATTTAATGTTCTGTTTTGTTTTATTTTAAATAAGCCTCTTTAAATACTACAAAATTGCTTGTTCTTACTAAGAGAGATAGATAAAAATAGTATTTCATTTATACTTGCATTTTAGGATAGTAAACAAAGATTGGACATTTAAAAAATATTTCTGGCAATGTGCTTTTCTTTTCCTGTTCCATGCCCACTTTTCTCTCTCTCTCTTTTTTTTTTTTTTTTTTTTTGAGTTGGAGTCTCACACTGTCGCCCAGACTGGAGTGCAGTGGCCACTCCTGGCCACAGCAGCCTCGACCTGCTGGGCTCCGGCGATCCTTCCGCCTCAGCCTTCCGAGTAGCCGGAATTACAGGCATGGCTACCACACCCGGCTGATTTTTTGATTTATTGTAGAGATGAGGTCTCACCGCCCAGGCGGGTCTCAAACCCGCGGGCTCAGGCAATCCGCTTACCTCAGCCTCCCAAAGCACAGGATTACAGGCTGAGCCACCGAGTCCGGCTTACTTTTCTCTTTAAAATACATTTGAAAAACTAATATCTTCATTACAAAGACAATGAATGTTAAGAAAAATTAGAAATACAAGCATTTCAGAGCATTCTTATGTTTTTATAGGTGCTTTATATTAAGGATACTAATACTGTCACACGTGTTAAAAATAATTTTAGCTAGCTTAAGATTTTTACATAGAGCAAAACGTTAATTTGTATGTCATCAAATCTTCTGAGTTTTCCTTTTGTGATTTATTCTACTAATTTTATACCCATGTTTTTCTCACCCTGAGATCAAACAAGCATGTGTACTTTCCTTAGTTTCTAATGGTTTGGGTATTTTTTGATACTTTTAAGTTTAATCCTGCGATTTATTTGTAAAGTATGGTGAGTGGCAGGAACCTAAATTAATTTTTTCCCTAAGAAGTAATGAATTGTCCCAGAATCATTCACTGAAGCGTCCCCCCAGGCCATGTTTACCTTATACTGACTTACACATTCTGTAAGTTCTTACACATTTGTCAGTTCTTACACAAGCACTTTCACTGTTACCATCATCACTTTACAGAGTACTTTAACAAGTGATGGGGCAAGTTGTCCACCTCTACGAAGACACTCTCTTATTTTAACATGTCCTGACTATTCTTTCCCATTTGTTCTTCCAGATGACCTTTAGAAAGCACGTTCTCAGTTTTAATTTTAAAAAGCAAAATAAACTTGTGTAACTTTGTCTTAGAATTTATCTTTAAATGATAAGAATACAGTGTAGATTATTATCATTTTTAAAACGAAGCCTTTTCCAGATAAAAACGTGGCATTTTAAAGGCCGTGAGACTTGTAGCTAGCTATAACTGGTGTAGTCACAAAGGAAAAAGTGTGGGTGACACAATGCTGCCCTCTGGTGGGAGCCAGAGATTGAACCGTATTCCTCCAGTCCTAGGAAGGGATGATACTGCTGAATAACCCAGACTTCCACTCCAAACCCTGAAGACAGTGAGACAGGAGATAGCTAGAGAAAGTCTAGACAAACAGCCGGGTAGGTTCTCTGGTAACAATGTAGCAAAATCCGGCAGGCCTCTCAGGCTCAGCGTTGCTAAAGCAGCTCCCTGCGAGTCTCTCAAGCTAGAGCTTAAACACACTGCTGGGATCAAAAACCAACCAATCAGCTCACCATTAGGCCCCTACCTCCTGCTGACTGGTCCTTAATACTGACCAATCAGAACAGCTAAATGCGGACCAATCAGCTCACAGAGTTGGCTTGGTCTTAAGGCTATATAAGCACCAGGTGTCAGCTCCAAATCTGCAACCCCTTTGGGTCCACTCCCATTGTGGGAGCTTTTCTGTCCTCTCAATAAATCCTGCTTTCTCACTTCCCAGCTGTCTGTGTCCCTCATTCTTCCTAGGCATGCGATAAAAACCTCAGATCTGGAGAGTTGTGACCTGAAGAGCTGCAGAAAATCGTAGGAGTCGAACAGGAGAGCTGTTGGAAGAAGGCAAGACTCTGAAGCTGAGACACTCTGAGGGGTAGGCTTGCCAGCCCATCAGAGCCAGCACTCAGGGGGCTAGGCTTGCCAGCCAACGGAATGAGCAACTCTCTCAGGGCTTGGCTTGCCAGTCCATTAGAGCCAACACTTCTGGGGCTAGGCTTACCAGCCCCTTGAGATGGCCCTCTCAGGGGCTTGGCTGGCCCCATTGAGCTGATACTTTTGAAGCCCAGGCTGACCTGAAAAATCCATATCAACAGCATAGGAAAGTCTACTATGCTGACTGATTCAAGAGAAGCCTTTTTGCTACCCATGACAAGTTCCTTTATAACTAGTCTATCATATGTCTGGATTTTTATCTTACAAATTGATTCCTTCCATCCTCCGTCTCATAGGGTTCTTCATCTGAACCACAAACCACAGAAGATCGTTGGAGTGGCTATTTTTGCAATTCTCCATGAATCTTAGATCCCTAGAAATCAATTCATTATATACACTGAACATCTTAGGGCTTTGGGTTTAATTCTCTTAGTAAAGCCCTGGTCGAGAATAGACTTTTCTTTGTAAATGAAAATAACGCTGATATTGTAAAACCTTAAAATTTTAAGAAGGATACTATAACAGGGAGATCTGTTTTACCTGGCTTGCTGTTGGTCGTTTCTTCGGATCCCAACTCAACATTTCAGTCATAAGCTGAATAGCTTCATTACTGGCATTGGGAATAAGAGTTTTTAAATTTATAGGAACACACTGGGGAAAGCGGAAGTTCATAGAGGATGCAAGCTGGTATCCTTCTGGCCAGTCACTCTGTTTAAGGAATATGTAAGTGTGGGGGCAGGGGAGAGCAAAAAGAAAGTTGTTTTTAATAATCTATTTAAAAACAGGGTAATATAAAAATCATTAATATGCAAACATTTTAATAGTGATTCATATCAAACTGTAGTCTGGATCTTGATAATGATGATGATTATGATGATGATGATGATACCTGGGTGACTTTGACCAAATAAGGCCAAGTGCTTTACAAAGAGGTTGGTTACTACAAAGATCCTCATTGTGTGTTATATATCATTTCCAATGTTAAAAATTGCTCATAGCTGGGAGATGACAATTATGTTAAAGCTTTAATAGCTACACTTATTTTTCTAATGTTAACTACAAGGCAGGTACTAATTAGGATGTAATTATACACACACTTATTAAGCATATCTCAGATAGTAAGGTCTAGCTGAAATATAATCTGGTTAAAAAGTACTCAGTTCAGAAAGTCAAATACCCACAACAGAGGTGCATGAAAGGAAACATGAAAGGGTTAAGAAAAAATAAGATCTGGGGATGAATTAGCTGATGACAATGGACAGTCACAAAGCAAGTAGAAAAGAGTTTTAGCAAGGCTGTCTATGTGGTTGTCAGCTGGTCATCAACCCAAAGTTATACTCTAAACACAGAATTTTCTTAAGTTCTTAAGGAAGGGCAAACACCCTTTCTCTTTAGCAGGTGGAATTCTGGCTTCTTGCAAACCTTATCCCACCCTAACACAAAAATATAAAGATTATAAGAAAATTAACTATTAAAGTATGAGTCTATTTGAAAATGAAAATAGCAGGCATTTAGGCAAAAGTTATAAATAATTAAAAGCAAAGTAGCAAGCAAGAAATAATCAAAAGTTATAACAACTTAGGGACAAGAGTACTTACTTTTTTGGGAGTCCCTAAAACTTGGCAAATTTTAAAGATTTCATCAACCTCACTTGTCCCTGGGAAAAGCGGTCTTAATGTATACAGCTCAGCCATTATACTTCCAACAGCCCACACATCAATGGGAGAGCTATAAACTGAAGATCTTAATAAAACTTCAGGAGCACGATACCTATGAAAATAGAATACACAACAGAGAAAGGCTATCTTGATTGTCATTTCAAAGGTGGCTGGGGAATAACAGTCTACTTTGGTAATGCCTTTCAATCAAGGAACAGGTAGTAAGAGCCTTCTGCGTGTCAGGCATTTGTACAACAAGCTGAAGTCAGTCAAACACATGTTCCCTGACCACAAACAATGGGTGGGGATGGAGATAAATGTAAATGAAATGTCCATGTAGCCTAAAATGGGACTCAACTGAATAAATGTGGAAATAAGGGCTGGCTGATATCAGGGAAAAAGGGAGAAAAATCACACGACAAAGCATGATCCAGCATATAATCACATGGAGGATAGAAAACAAAAGATTAACAAATATTATCCCTGAGTAGTTTTTTTTTTCTTCTTCTTATCATTTTGAAAGTGCTGATACCCTCCATGGACTCCTCTCTGTTGACAGCAATATTTTTAATTGAGGAAAATACTCAGGTATCTTCCACAATTAAGAGCAAAGGTACCTGGTGAATCCAACACAAAGTCTGTTAAACGGAAGATACTGCCAATGCTTGACTCTTTTTTATATTGAAATGTGTAAACATGTCAGTCTAAGTGTTTTGTAAGTACTGTCTTTTTGCTTTCACTCAGAGTATAGCAGGCTCTCGAGTGTCATTTTGTTCAAGGTGGTTGTGTTATGACGTTGATAAGGAAAAAAGTCGATGCCCAGTCAGGGTCACAGTGTGTAGGGGGTTGGCACATTTTTCCCATGTCTGCTTGAGTTTCCTCTGGTACGTCAATTTCCTCCCACATCCCAAAGATGTGCGTGTCAGGTGAACGACTTTGTCTACATGGTCCCATTGTGGGTGGGTGTGAGTGCCCTGCAAGGGGAGGGTGTGCTGTCCAGGGCTGAATCCTGCCTGGCACCTTGAGCAGCTGGGACAGGCTCCTGCCACCTGCGACCTTGAACTGGAACAAGTGGGTAAAACTTTCTCACTTGTTTTTGTTAATCTTTAAAAAATGGAAGTATGGCTCACATTTATGTCAATGTTTAATATTAGAAGTGTTGTGATCTTTATTTAGAAGTCTGGTGATGATTTTGTGACCAGAAATATGCAGTAGGAACTTAACGCTTGTTTATATCAATTAGCCCATGATAAAACTGGTTTCCTTATACATCGTCTCACTTAAAGGTGCGGTTTCCAAGAACCTGTGGTCACAGTTAAGTGAGGACTCACTATACTTTCTTTGACAAATATGTTTAACAGCTTTGAGACATAATAGACAATTCACTCATTCAAAGTGTACAATTCACTTGTTTTTTGTATATTCCCAGAGTTGTCCATGCAACATCACAATTTTAGAACATTTTCTTTACCCCCAAAAGTTACCCTACATCTCTTATCTCTCTCTCAGTATCCCCATGTCCTTAGCCCTAGGCAACTACTCATCTGCTTTGTTGCTACAGATTTGCCTATTCTGGACATTTCATATACACAGAATCTCAGGCTGTCAGGCCCTTGTGACAGGATCCTTTCACTCAGCATAATTTTGAGGCATGAATCAGTACTTCATATTTTTCTTGCTGAATAATACTCCATTATGTGGATATATCATATTTGTCCATTCATCAGAGACAAACATTTGGGTTGTTTCTACGTTTTGACTATGATGAATAATGCTTCAATCAATATTCATTATAAGCTTTTATGTAGACTTGTGTTTTCATTTCTCTTAGTTATATAACTAGGCACAGAATTGCTGGATCACATGGTAACTCTATGTTTAACCATTGAGAAACTGCCAGAATGTGTTCCAAAACAGTGGTACCACCTTATGTTCCCATCAGCAGTATAATAAGGTTGTGATTTCCCCATATTCTCACCAACACTTGTCATTATCTGTTTTGACAAATATTTTGATAAAATAAAATTATTTTGCATGTTTTGCCGAATTTAGATGCTTCTCAGTTTTATTTCACTGCAGTATAGAATCTAAATTTACCCAGTTAAAAATAAAATTGCCTTCAAAAGAATTATCCTGCCAGAGGAGGTTTTCTCAGTTTAATTGTACATAAAAAACTAGTATACTATTTGAACTCTTATCATTTAATTTGTTCAGTTCCTCTCCCTAGCTTTTGTAGGGATAAATAGCATTGTCTTCTGTTTGCAAACTTTGTCTTTTTTCTTATTTTGTTTATTTATATTTGCTTATATATAAATATATAATTCTTCTTCTTTCCCATTTTTATGTGTATAGTTCAGTGGTAATAAGTATATTTATATTTCTTTTCCCCCTTCATCTTCCCTTCCCCCCTTCAAACTTCATATTCTTTTCTTTTTTTCTTTTTCCCTCCCTTCCTTCCTCTCTCCCTCCCTCCCTTCCTTCCTTCTTTCAAGTCGGCATCTCACTCTGTCACCCAAGCTGGAGAAGAGAGGCATGATCATGATCATGGCTCACTGCAGCATTGACCTTCTGGGTCCAGGCAATCCCTCTGCCTCAGCCTCCCAATGAGCTGGAATCACAGGCCTATGCCACCACACCTGGTTTTTTTCTTTTTTCTTTTGTAGCGACAAGGTCTCACTATGTTGCCTAGGTTGATCTCAAACTCCCAGGCTCAAGCAATCCTTCAGCCTCAGCCTCCCAAAGTGCTGGGATTATCGGCTTGAGCCACCATGCCCAGCCAAACTTCATTTACAATAATGGCAATTTGCTATAAGCTTCAAAAGTTTCAGGTTTTTTGGTGCTCCGTTTGTTAAAAATTCTGTTTGAAGATTTTCAAGTGATTTATAAGATAATGCAATCAAACTTTAAGGACTTGTTTACAAAGAAGCTAGATGCCACTGTAAATCACTTAAATTGACTTAGAAAGTAAATCTTCAATGTTCAAGCAGGTCTACAATTGACAGACAAAAGGAAGCACATACTGCCATGCTGACATATTTTTTGTAGTTAACTTCAGTGTCATTAACAAAATTTTGTACTTCAGTTACTCTGCCTCTGTGTATGTGCGATTTGTAAGTTCTGACAACAACAGTTTGTATTTTGACTGCTAGAACAGCACAACTTATGTGGATGCAGTTACAAAATATATGTGTATCATAACCAATCCAAGTTCATTTCTGCTTTCTCGATTTCTTCTTAATTTAGTAAGAACACTGTTTTTATGATGCTATGCTCCCCTACAATTTGTATTTATTTGTATTATCACTGCAAAACAATACTTCTACCTCCAATACTGTAACAGAAATTACAGTAGCATTTGAAGTAATGTTTCACCTTTCGCAGAATGAACATCCAAAAGCTTTGATTCTTTGAGTTGCAATGAAAAAGTTATACCTTGTTGAAAATCAGGTAACTGATTTTTCCTTTGAAGTGCCTAAAGACACTCATTTAAAACTAGCATCATTTAGCCGGGCTCAGTGGCTCAGCCTGTAATCCCGCCTTTGGGAGGCTGAGGTGAGTAGATTGCCTGAGCCCGTGGGTTCGAGACCTGCCTGGGCAGCGAGACCTCATCTCTACCGATAAATCAAAAAAAATCAGCCGGGCGTGGTAGTGCATGACTGTAATTCCGGCTACTCGGAAGGCTGAGGCAGAAGGATCGCCAGAGCCCAGCAGGTCAAGGCTGCGGTGGCCGGGAGCGGCCACTGCACTCCAGTCTGGGTGACAGAGTGAGACTCCAACTCAAAAAAACAAAAAACTAGCATCATTTAATTATGAATTTCTTCCTTCATGAAAATAGCCTATACTCTTATGATCAATCATTTTACTTTTCATGCCTGATAAACAAACTGGGAGTCAAAAGCAAGTGAAATTAATTTAGAAGAAGAGTCATTTGATCTCAAAGAGAAGCAATCCCTCTTAGGGTAATGTGCAAATTTATCTTCTGACGTTGCACTTAATAATGGCTGTCTTTGCACTGTCTTCTTAAAGTAGCAACTAACTTTTGAATTAGATGCCAGTGCTGCTTGGGGAGATTTGCGTTTTCTGGTTTACACCAGGTCAGTGACTATAGCCCTTGTGATGGGGGGGGTGAATGCCAACGAATATTTTTTGTACATTCACCAGCAACTTTTCTTGAAGAGAAAAACACTTGTTTTTCACTAAATATGCACTTTTGGTTTTTGGAAGTTCATCGCAAAAAATTTTTTTTAAGAAAGCAATACCAAACGTATTTATTTCTTTGGGCTGCTGGTACTTTGCTTTCCACACATTCCCTGTGCATCTAACCTATAATTTCCTAAATTTCCCATAATCCCACCAACTGGTGTTTCAAAGGCTATGGCAGAAGCCATGGCACAGTGGCTAGGATGTCATATGGCTGGCAAGGCGGGCAGTATTAAATACTCTCTGGCCCATCCTGGCTTATTTTAATGGAACTACTGATAACAAGCATCAGCTTAGACTGTTCTAGGCGACTCAGGACATATACCTCTTCTCTTCCCTGACTGTAACTACACTCACTCCCTTGGTGATCCTTCTCCAGTCTTGTGATTTTTGACACTGAGGACTCCTAAGGTTATGTCTCCAGCCAGCCCTCTCCCCTGCACATCCAGCCATCTGCTTTGCCATCCTCCCTTGGCTGTCTCATGGACATCTCATGCAACCCAGAACGAAATTGTACTTTTGCCATAAGAACTCCCCTGCATTTTTCAGCTCAATTGGCGGTAACTTCATCCTTCCGGCTACTCAGGACAAAAACCTTGGAGTCTCTGATTGGTTTGGATGCAGTCTGTCAACCAAAAAAATTCATGTTGAAATCTGATCTCCTAGGGGGAGGTGCTTGGGTCATGGGGACAGATCCCGCAGGAAAGGCTTGGCGCTGCAGTGAGTGAGTTCTCCTTCAGGTCAGATGAGATCAGTTCCCAGAGGGGGGTCAATATAAGCCGTGGTTCCTCCTCCTGTTTGTTCCCTCTTCACCAGGCCTGCTTCCCCTTTGACCTACTCTACTATGTTTTCAGGCAGCACAAAAGCCTTCACCAGAAGCCAAGTGGATGCCAGTGTCATGCTTCTTGTATAGCCTCAGGTATTCCTTAGAGCAACACAAAACACATTAAGACACCGACTCCATTCTTTTATCCCTCACATCTGGTGCTTTAGGAAACATACGCAGAATTCCAACTTCTCACAACCTCCATGGACAGCAGGTCCAAGTCACTATATCGTTTCCCACCTGGATTATTAGAATAGCTTCCTACCTGGTCTCCCCGCTTCTGCCCTTGATCCCCTGAAATCTGTTGTCAGCACAGTTGCCAGAGTTAGACTTCTGAAACACACATCTTCTTATAATCCTCCAGCGGTTCCCCCAGTTTGCTCAGATTCAAAAGCCACCATCCTTACAGTGACCTACAAGGCCCTATACAATCGGGCTACCACAGACTCTCTCACCTCCTTTTCTGCTACTGTCTTCCTTATTCATCCTGCACTTTGCAGAATTCACTCAGGGCTCACTCTTGTCTCAAGGACTTTATCTTAGCATTTTCTCTGCCTGAAAAGCTGCTCTGGCATCTCTTCCAGGGGCAGTCTCAGTGAAACTCTCCATTTCAAACGGTAACATTCCTCTGCCTCCCCATCTCCCCCCAACTCCCTGCCCCGTTTCCACATTTTATTTCTCTCCATAATAATGGATCGCCATCTGATGCACATATATCCTTGTTTTATTGGAGTATAATATACACACAGGAAAAAGCACATATTGTAGGAGTGCAGCATGATGAATTTTCACAAATAAAACACATCATGGACTCAGTATCCAGATCAAGAAATGCACATTGTCAGCACCTTAGAAGGCCCCTTGTGCACTTGTCGAGGCACTTTGTACAACCCCTGACCCCAGGGAACTGCTTGCTCTCCCGAACTTTTTTTTTTTTTTGAGTCAGAGTCTCACTCTGTCGCCCAGGCTGGAGTGCAGTGGCA